ACAAATTAAAACCATTTCCACACTTACACTTTCAAAACATCTTTCAAAAACAAACATCTCTTTGAACTATTTTCAAAATCAACACTTTGTATATATTCTTACAGAGACGAGAATCATTACAAATTTTGCCGAAACAAAGGCTTTTTCAAAATACTTTCAAACTTACACCCATCATAAAACACATTTTCAAATAAAGCCTTTTCAAGTGATCTAGCAAGCAATTAAGAGCCCATAGATAACTACGGATGAAAAGGGTGCTAACACCTTCCTTTTTCATAACCTACCCCCCGAACTCAAGAAAATATCTCAAAGGTCTTTCCTATTATTTTCACCCTTTCCTTTATTGGATAAAAGAAAAGTCGATGGAGACTCTTGCTATCCGCAACAATTGCAATCAAATGCAAAACACCCAAGTCAGTTCTCCCACCATATTACAACCATACAATTAAATTTTTGTTCCACTTCTTACTCACTTTGTGTTTATGATAAACACTTTTGGATAATCTCCTTGAAGCGAATCAGAGGAGACCATTAATTCAATATGAACTCCGCGTTACTTGCTTGCTTCTATTGTTGTGTTCTATGGTTAAGTCATGTCTTTCTCCTTCAATGGGGAGCCCTTTTATACTCAATCTCACGTCCTGAGATCATTAAGAACTGACACTTCAAGTCTCATGATTAAATAATGTTAATAACGTCCTCCGTCATAATCATTATCATGATTTATATCATGTAACATCCTCTGCATTAATTTTTGTAACTCCCATGCAACCATGGGACTGCCCTATAACTGTTACATCAGGTTCTCAACTCGGACCTCCGATTATATATACCGTCCAGGAACGTGATTCTGAGAACCATATGACCAACCCCTTACGTCGACCTAGCCTCTTATTTGTCTCATAAATATCAACTCGGCCATCGTTACCTTTTAAGAATGTTTGGCACATCCGACTCCTCTTTATTGGCCATAATGACTTATAATTTGACAATGAGAATTTCATAGTGTACACTTTCTATTCATTTTTTTCCTTTAATATTCTTTCCTTTCATTTTATTTCTTCATTCAAAATATACTTAGATATAAGAGATACAAGAAAATAATATAAATAATTAGTAGGTTATAATTTTTTTTCACACATCACACCAAAAACTTCATAGGTCTCTTTTTATTATCTATTCTCTGATAAGTATACATATATAGATGATTTCTAAGGTGGAAAAGTGTCTCATATATGATTTATAATGAATTGATGCTCCAATTGAAAATCATTCAAAACTCTAATAATGTTGTTCTGCAGAAGAGAAGCTTAACATTTCAAAACTCAACTTGAATTTTGATTTTGATATATTTTCAAGCATCCACCTTCATAAAATACACGCGACACTTTCCCACCCTACAAAATAACTATATGATGATATAAATCTATTTCGGTAACACTGTCTGTCATGTTCCTGATTTCCCTTGACAACCCCTACTCGTAAGTCTCCTAAAGGAAACTTCACTGTTAAATACATAGTTGATAAAGCCTCCTCCAATGAATTGAAAGTTCGTTGCCCGATTATAATTTTGTAACGTGATATAGTGTAACACCTGAACTTCCTCACCTGAGAATCCAACGAGCGACCCTTTTAACGGTCGTATGAGATCCATGTCCAGTCTTAATCCTTGAAAAGCTTCCCAATATAAGATGTCCTTAGAGCTTCTAGGGTCGACAAAAACTCACTTTATGTCTCACTTCCCGATCTAGAGGTTTATCACCATAGGGTCATCTTCATGCAGTATTATGCCATATGCATCCCGTTTGGAGAAGCTTATTTGAGGGTCATATGGATGATGATCAGGTCAGAGAGCGCGGGAGATGTTCATCACTTGTCTTGCATAATTTTTTATGACCTGCTGGATTCCCCGCCTTCGGCGAATCCTCTGACAATCGTGTTGAGCATGTGGCGCAGAGTGCTCTGTCCATGCTCCTCCTTTCGGGGTCTTTTTGTGGGTTGTGCTCGTTTGTTAGCACGATATGGGGAGGAACACCTTCCATTTATGGTATTTTCTTCTCGATATTCTATCTCAAGTGGTAGAAGTCGCCAGTATGATGTCCCCGGATTTTTTGGTATTTGCACCAGTTGTCCGAGTTGGATTCAATCATATCTGCCATAGGCGGATTTGCTTCCAGGATGACTCGGATCGTGTAGGTTTATTGCAGAATCTTTTCTATAGTGGTGTTTAAAGGGGTCTACTATTCGAGTGGTCTTCAATCGAACCTACTCGAACGGGGAAGCTTGTTCCTGCTATATAGCTTTTCTTTAGACTTTTTGTGTCCGGTCTCCTTAGATCGAAAAGTCATGCCCTTCTCTTTAACATATCTACACTTCTTCTCTACATTGCTCTCCTCTGCTCTTATGTAACATTCATCTCGAGTTGTGATGTCCTCCATGGTAGTGGAGGGTTTTTGTGCTAGTGATTTGTTAAAGTGCATAACCTTCGGGCCATTTTGAAAAGCTCCTACAATTTTTTTTGGTTAGAATGGGATACTTTAATGGTTTCTTTGTTGAAACGCGCCAAGTATTCTCGTAGTGTTTCTCACTGCCTCTGGAGGACATTAAAAAGACTGGTTGTTAATGGAGAATTGATGTATCAATTCCTTGGTCAAATCTTGGTAGTTGGTTACCAAGTGCTTGGGAAGCCCCATGTACCAGCGTAAAGTAGCCCCTTCAGTGTTCCTACCATCAATTTGCACTCCATAGAGTCATTAGCCCCGATGATCGCCATTTGGGTGTTGACAATTAACATATGCTCCTGGGGATCGCGTTTTGCGTCAAATGTGGAAATTTGTGGTAGTTTAAAATTTTATGGGACTTCATCATTCAAAATCTCCTCCGACAATGGTTGCGTATCGATCTGGTCATCTGGATCCTCATCCTCGGGATGGAGATGAGGCTTGTTTTGCTAAAGTTTATGCACACTGTTTTGCAACTGCTCATTCTATTGACGCAAAAGATCTACACCGGCGACCAGTTTTTCCATAGCTTGGGATCTCTAATCGTTGCTTCTAGCTGTGGTTCTAAAACGTCGATTCGCAATTTTGTGCGGCCTGGAAGAGTTTTATCAAGCTCCACGGTGGGCGCCAACTGTTCTTGAAGATTAATATTGTTAATTTCCCCGAAGCTAGCCGGGAGAAACTGCAAAGTGTGTGAGTTATTTCTGATCGGATGATTGTTTTCCTTCTTTCTCTCTGAGGTCCCTCCTTATAGTCTCCCTTACCAAGTTGTGCCAACATCGTTTTTATGGCCATTATGGCCATGGTTCCCTTGTCGCCCAAAAAGCCATAAAAGATATTGAATATTATTTATGATGTTTTTTTGTGACACTAGTTAACTTGGTTTGGACGATTTGGATGGACGTGAATATGCAAACTGAACATTCATTAAAATCTTGATAGGTTACTCGGATTAACCCAAATATAATTATATATAATATAATTCTTTTTTAATAATTCAGATATAAAAAATAATATATAAATGATAAAATTAATCAATAATAATTTGTCGGTATTAAAGTTAAATATATAAGATTTTTTAAAAGATATTGGCCAAATCAACATTTTAATGTGAATATAAATTTGTCCAAATATGGTGAAGATGTCTAGTAGAATAATAAATGTATATTAATGTTGTTTTGAATTTTGATTGGTAATTAGGTCTGAGAATAAATGATATATATCGAAAGTGTAATGTTATTTTAAAATGAGTTATATGACATAGTTATAAATTTTAATTGGATGATACTGTAAAATTATTTTATATTGTTAGTGTATTATCTTTTAATTCATTAGATTTATATAAATTAGGGGTGTTTAAAATCGAACCAATTCAATAGAAAATCATAAATCGAATTAAATTAAATCGAAATCGCAAAAAATCGCATTTAATTTGAATGTTTTTGGGTCATTTTTTAACAAAATCGCATTGTTTTGTTCGATTTGCGGTTTGTATTTTACAAACCGAACCAAACTGAATCAAACCGCATTATGTTACAACCTAAATTTTATTTAACTCACATCCAACTCAAACATAAACTAATTATACTTTAACCCTGTGATTACGAACAATTTTCTCATTCTTACATTATGGTTTCAATTCCAGTCTTCTCGAATCTCTCATAGCATTATCGCGTCTTCTTCGCCACATACATCTTGCCTCCTCTTCCATAATTTATACTCTCTTATATTCTTTCTTTTTCACTTCTCATCTCTTCTATTTTTTTTATTTCATTATAATATTTTTTATATTATTTTATGTCATTATTTTATATTTATTATTCTACTTTTGTCTAATCTAATTTTTATATATTAAATGAAAAATTGTTGTCCAAATATGATGAGTTTTGTTGTTATTTGGTAGTGTGCGAATGATTAAATACAAAGTTATGTTGTCATTTATATTTGTACGTATGACTCAATAAAATATTTGTAAAAAAACGAAACAACCGAACCAAATCAAACTGCATTGATTTGGTTTTGTTTGGTTCGATTTTTTCTAAAAGTCAACTGAATCAAACCAAACTGTACATTTTTTTTCTTTTACGATTCAAATATTTTTAATATTAAAAACGGCTTAAACCGCACCGCAAATACTCCTAATATAGATATATTTAAAAGAGAAGTAATGTTATAACAAACAAAAAAAGAGAAGTAATGAGTTCTCTAAAAAATACTTGATACAAATTTTCAAAATAAAAAAGAAGAAAAATTCTTGATACATAAATCGCAAATGATTATATTGGCATTGAGTAGTGAATTCAGATTCCTTGATAAGTGTACAAATAGTAGATGATTTCTAAGGTGGAGAAGTGTCCCATATGATCTATAGTGGTCATCAGCTTGAATTGAATATCATTCAAAACTCTAATAATGTTGCTATGCGTAAGAGAAGATTATTAACATCTCAAGACTCAACATATATTTTGAGCGACTTTCAAGCATTCACCTACAAGTAGTTCAATTCTCTCTATAAAAATCCGGGTTGGACAATCGTGGCGTGGGAATAGCAATCAGAGGTGTTTTCTTTTTCAATACAATACCAAATTTCTCTGAAACCTCCAGATTTTCTCCTTCGGGTATTGTCCAATCAAACAAGTGAACAAGCGTAGCTGTATAATACAAAACAGTCCTCTCAGCCATTGCAATCCCAGCACAAATCCTTCTCCCAGAACCAAATGGAAAATAATTGAAGTCATTCCCACTGTAATCCCATTTCCCATCCAAGAACCTTGCAGGATCAAATTCTAGTGGATTCTCCCAAATTGAAGGATCTCTATGAATAGCCCAAACGTTTACAAACACACGAGATCCCTCCGGAATTGTGTAGCCTCCAACGTTGGTCGTTTCACTTGGACAATGAGGAACCATAAGCGGAAGCACCGGGTGCAAACGAAGGGTTTCTTTCATCACTGCATGTAAATAGGGTAACTTATGAATATGAAACTCTTCTACTAAGTTATCTTTTCCAACCACAGTTTCTAATTCCTCTTGAACCTTCCTCAACACTTCGGGCTTGTTCATCATTTCCGCCATAGCAAACTCAATTGTGTTAGAAGATGTGTCTGATCCACCCACCACCATGTCCTGTTCGCAATCATCCACAATACTTCATCATAAAAAATTTAGCAATAGATGGGTTTTAAAAAACTACCGACCACAGCAAAAATGACCGCGACAACAACAATAATCAGTGTCCCAACTACTATATCAACTGACATCGCAAAAGCCTTTACACAATCACAACGCGACCGGATGGTGTTTTAAAACATTCATGAAAACGTTGATGAAAAAACATACCATGAGAAGTGCCTTAATGTGAGTGCTTGTGAATGGCGTCTTTGAATCACCCTCTTCTTCCAAATTCAACAAAAACTGAAGAAAATCTTTACTCTCATTCTCTTTTCCTTTCTCTTCCTTCTTCTTCACACGTTCGCTAATCATCTTCTCAAATATTCTATCAAAACGAGGAACCAAAGCATTCATCTCTTTCACCACACCTTGTAAATCAAACCGGGCCAACCTGGGGAAAAAGTCCGACAGATTCGGCTTCCCCAAAAGTTGTGTCATCTCCGCCACTGCCTCCCTGAACTCCGCCCCTAAACTCTCCCTCTCTTCCCCTTTCACTGCCGCACCCCACATCATATTCGTAATCACGTTCAATACAGTTAAAAAAACTTGCTCTCCAATATTCACCTTTGATCCAACCCGGTCATGAATATACCCAACCGTTCTCCGAACCTCGCCGCGACGGAGCTCGTAAACAGAATCAAGAGTTGTGTTGCTAAGCATCTTCAACACGCAAATTTTCCTCAGCATCCTCCACTCTGGTCCATACGGGGTCCATACTATATCTAAGCCACCGTAAGTTGCTGCTCTACCTGCGGCAGGGACGTCGCGGTTGGCGAAAACTGTGTCGTGTTCTTTTAGAATCTCACGCGCCGTGGAAGGTGAACTCACCACGATTCCGAGTTTGCTACCGAGCCAGAGCTTGAAAATCGGGCCGTGAGTTTGGGCCAGCCCGGCGAAGTAAGTGTGGAGTTCTGGTTCTAGAGATAGAAGATTCCCGAAGATAGGAAAGCCTGATGGGCCTGGCGGTAAATTTTGGGATTTGGATTTGAAGAAGAGGTAAATATACAAAGTTACTGCGGTTATTATCAAGAGTGCTATGATGAGAGTTGTGCTCTCACCACCATAGAGAATCATGATGCTATTTGTGTATTGTTATTGTTGTGTTTTGAGATTATAAAAGGAAATAGTAGAGGATGTTAGGTAGGTGAAGATAATGAAGATAAGATAATTTGACAGCCGGAACCACTAAAGATAATGAGAAAACGACAAATGGATTTTGCAAGAACGGTGGATCGATACTGCATAAACGACAATATGGATCTTGCAAAAACGGTTGAAGGACAATTTAAACGGAATCTTCCAAAACGGTATATAATGCAATGAGTGAGGGAGGACAATTGTGTTCAGAAATAAACATAAATAAAGTAATGGGATATTAACAAGGAGGGGTGTTTGCGGTGCGGTTTGAACGGTTTTGAAGTAAAAAATTATCTGAACCGTAAGAAAAAAATGTGCGGTCCGATTTGGTTCGGTTGATTTTTAAAAATAAAATCAAACCAAACCAAATTAAACTAATACAGTTTGGATTAGTTCGGTTGGTGCAGTATAATTTTGTGTTTAATCGTTCATACATTACCATAAAAAAATTTTAATTGTCAAAATAAATTTATAATTTGTTACCTAAAATTGCATATTATAATTTTGTCTAAATCTAAATAATAATATACATAAGATTGCATTCTTAAATAAATATTATACAAAGAATACGTAAAATATATTTTATAAGAATAGTATTTATAAATGAATAATATTTCATTTTTTATGATTTGTAAATTAAAATACATATCATACAAAGAATATGATAAAATATACATATAATACATGTTGATTTCTCTAAAGAATTAAATAAATATATTGATTAATAAGATTTAATAACATAATACGATTTGATTTACAAAATATAAACCGCAAATCAAACCAAACTACGCGGTTTCATTAGAAAATGACCTAAACAGATCCAAACCAAATATGATTTTTTGCAGTTTTAATTTAGTTTGATTCGTTTTCCAATTTTCTATTGGACCGGTTTAGTTTTGAACACCTCTAATAACAAGTGCCCTAAAACACAAGATAAAGAAGAAAAGGTAGAAGTTTTATATTAAAAACAATCATTTTAAAATCTGCAAAAAGTTACGTTTAGCGTTTTCTGCCATTGGAATATTAATAATTACTTACATTTATCTTATTCTTAAAGAAGAATAACCATTTTTCGATGCTGGTTATAAAGCTATAGTTCTTTGTAATGTTACTCTTAAAGTTGTCATAAAAATTGGGTTTCGATCTTCTTTGTAACCAAAAATAAAATTTTATCATAAAAATTATTGTCAACGGAATTAAAATAATCCTTTCTAGCTAACAAATGAAAATCAACGTGTCTAGGTTCATTATAGACTTATTAATAATAATTATATTAACATAATCATTGAATCATTGGCTATTTTAAAACAGCTTGGAAAGTTAGAATACAATTTCTTTGTTGAACATACTCATAGATAAGGCGCCGTCTCATTTCATTTCTTTTGTTTTTAAGTGTTTTGCCATTGTTATTAGTCATTATTATTAATTAAAAAACTAAAACTTTAATTTGATAGGATTACTAACGTGACTTTTTCTAGAGTTTAGGTTTAGTTAGGTTTTTCTTTCACTTATAATAATAATAATAATAATAATAATAATAATAATAATAATAATAATAATAATAATAATAATAATAATAATAATAATAATAATAATAATAATAATAATAATAATAATATCTAGATAATAACAATTCTAAACAAAAATGTTTAATAGTATCATTTAATTAGGTTTCATTTAAACATTCAAATAATAGGATGTACATCTTCGAGTAATTAAATCGGTCGACATATCGTTTACCGATTTGTTATTCAAAACCAAATAATTAAAATCCATACAACTACCAAATTCCCCATCTGCGAATGACACGAAGTCAATATCGGACCACGTGGTGAGGAGACTATATCAGACTCCCCGCCCCACGTCTTAATCAAATTAAATACCAAAACAGCTAATCAATTACAAACTATTTTTTCTACTAACATAATCAAAACTCAAGATTATTTTCGAAAAAGGATTAAGGCAAATTACTTTCAAAATTAACTGCGAACTGCGTCTACAATCACTGACTTTTCAAAACCCAGACAAGGTTCAAGGATAAATTTGAAAGCAATTCAACGTGATCCTATAAAAAACACCAACTCATGCGAACTAAGAATTGGGACTTTGATTCCTCTTAAGAGGATACGTAGGCATACGATCAAAAATCGTAGCGAGTTCTACTATAAATTTTTTTAAGTCCTTTCCTTCTAATTAAAACTTAAAATCCAGTTTACCCCAAACCTAAACCTAGAGCTTAATATCCTTGTGAACAAGGTGGATGAAAGGTGCCTAACACCTTCCTTTCGTCTAATTAAGTCCGTAACCTAGAATCTCTATCTGCAAATTAGGGTTTCCTATTAGATGCCCTTCCCTAGGATAAAAACTAATAGTGGCGACTCTTGATTTAAAAACCATTCGTGACAGCTGGTGACTCTGCCGGAGACTCTCCTTAACCCTAGGTTTATGTATTTTTGGGTTTCTAGTTTTTTTTGCTTTATTTATTTATTGCATTTATCTACTTTATCGCATTTATTTACCATCAATTTTTCTTATCATCATATATTTACTGCGTGGCAGGATTTTTTCTATCTCAAAAATATTTCCAATATAACCCTTAGAAAGAAGGTTCGTCTATTAGCTTAGGGGGTACATCATCCTTGCGAGTTTATGTGACGACTTCGCCTAGAGTCGGTGAACTTCCGAAAAAGGAATACTTATCGAGAGACATCCTCTTGACGAGTAGGACTTTGAAAGGTCACCCATGACTCTTTATAACGGCCTTAACCTAAACTCTCATGACGAGACCTTTCACGACTTTGAGACGAAATTTTTGGTCCGTAAAGAGTCTCCACCTAAGGGAGGCCCTTGTGCCTTTCCCCTATGGTGTTATTCATGACACCCTTAAGGAAGCCACCTTTAGGGAGGGTAGATCAATTGTAGATCAAGATTAAGGAACTTACGTTATAAGGGTACTTATTACAAAAATCCCATCACTCAACCTTACACCCACGCATTCATATATTTCATGTATTCGTCATACATTCATCATATATTCGCCACCCGTCTCGTTGTCTTATTCACGAGGTACAAAAAAAATAAAATCAAGATCTCAGTGACTGTCTTTAAAAATGGATACCGAAAGAAACAACTTGCCTGCGTCAACACGCCAAACATGTCTGAAATCAAGGCCACAAAAAGGGAATAACGTGCTGAAGTTTTTCTCAAGCTTTGTCAGGTCAAGGTGGATGACCTTCAGATTATATATCCGCAGGCTCACCTAGAAGACTTATTTCCTTTCGCTTGATTTCACGCAAATAAAGTTTTGGCTTAAGATTATAATATTTTTCAATATCTGGATTACGATACTTTCAATAAAGGCATTTTGTTTCCACGTTTCGTTTGCGTATCTATTTTAAAGATAGTCATCAAAATAATAAGCAAAAGACGAATACATATCCAAGTGAATAAGATAGTTAACCCCTTTCGTATTCATACACATTCATTCGAATGCGTGCATTTGCGAACACCTGGATATCATGTCAAAACTCATTTAAAAAAAAAAAATCTCTCCAGTTGAACCATTGGTATAAGAAAGTCTCCACCTCCTTGGCCTCCATATCAAACAAGGGCTCATCAACAGAAAGCAATGGAGAAAATCGAGGAAACTCTGGCTGCATTCAAAGAAGATCTCAACCAAGTAAAGGGCGACATAAGTTCAATGAAAGGAAATTTGAGTCAAGTTCTTCTGGCTTTGAAGAACATTATTGACAGGCAAGACCAAATACCCAGGGTAGCTTTTAAAGAAGTAGCCCAGACTATAGGTGCATCAAGCAGTCACCAACTAAGGAAAGAGCCAGAAGCAGGAATCCCAAAGTCTGTCATGGCTCAACAAGAAGCTGAAACTGAAGGGTTTGTCCTACCTCCGCCAAAAGCAGGGGCATCTCGTACCCTACAGATTCCAACCCATAATGAAGACAACTACTTGGACATGCAATATGGAGACCACGACCAGGGGATGCCAACCAAGCGCCCCCCAAAGACGATTGGTACTCATGCTGTTAATAATCCGCTAGTGATGAATCCATACAAAACTCTGGAGGAAAGACTAAAAGCTGTGGAGGGTTTGGACGCTTTCGAAGTAGACGCTCTCGAAATGGGCCTAGTTCCTGATGTGGTGATTCCACCAAAGTTCAAAGTACCTGAATTTGAAAAATACAAGGGGATCACTTGTCCAAGAAATCATCTCTGTATGTATTGCAGGAAGATGCATGCCCATACCCACAATCAGAAGCTGATGATCCATTATTTTCAAGATAGCCTGAGTGGGGCATCTTCAGACTGGTATATGCAATTGGAGCGAACGTATATTTGAACCTGGGCAGATCTTGCTAATGCTTTCCTAAAGCATTACAAATATAACCTGGACATGGCGCCTACCAGCCTGCAACTCCCGAATTTGTCCCAGAAGAAAGAAAAGTCCTTCAAGGAGTATGCTCAGAGATGGAGGGAGTTGGCATCCCATATGCAACCATCACTGTTAGAGATGGAGTTAGTAGACACATTCATGGGAACTTTGCACGGGTTGTATTATGAGATGATGGTTGGAAGCATCTCTTCAGGGTTTTCAAACCTAGTAACCATCGGAGAAAGAATCAAGATTGGGATAAAAAGTGGGAAGATATCAGAGGGACCATCAAATGCTCCCTATAATTCAAAGCGGTCTTCTTCAACCATCCCCAAAGGAAAAGAGGGAGAAATTAATGTTGCAGCATCACAACCCAGGGTACAACAACCATTAGTGATCCCAGTAGGACAACAGCAAGGCAGAAGGCCACCCAGGAAATTTGATCCACTCTATATGCCACCTAGCCAGTTATTGCAACATCTAGTTAAGGCATCCTTAGTGAAACTCAAGCCTCTAGCTCCACAAGTCGGGCCACTCCCACGAAGATACG